ATGGAAAATCTGTCCATAAAGATGGCACCAAGAATACTCCAGGTCTGGACAGTACAGTAAGGTACTATGTAACATCACCCTATCACTAATGTAGTAATCCATTGCTAATTTAATAGCAAGACATATTGTGCTCTATTCTTCTGGAATAGTAATGTAGACCAGGGGTCTGCAACCTACAGCGTGTGAACTAGATGTGGCCTGTGGAACTACTGGATCTAATTCATGGATGTTGGGCTTCAGAAGCATTCAGTGGCAGGGGGCTTCAGCTGTGGGTGCTCTCCTTGTGGTGCTACAGAGACAGGCTGCAGGTGCTCTTTTCATGCCACCACAGAAATAAACAGTTGTAGCTGCTGGGTCCTACCACCTGCTTTCCCACCTCCGACTCTTAAGTGGGTTATTCCAGCCCAAAGCTGGAAAAGGTTGCCTAGCCCTGATGTAGATTCCTTCACTCAGCTGGAAAGTCTCTGATTTCAGGGAAGAGCATGCCCTCTTTCTGCTTCGACAGTTATTCAGGATTCTCTTCCATTATCATTTAATTTGGTACAAGACAGAAAAAATTCCCTTCTATAACCAGATCTTCCTGAGGATGTTGCTACCCAGTCAGGACATCATTATTTAAGGATATAGCAGCCTAGAATAATTTTGAAGCAATCATCAATACACTGCTTTATTTCACCAAGATGACCTTCCTGTCCCTAATCCCCCAAAATGTATTGTCTCTTAGAATGAAAATTCTGGGAAGTGGAAGGGCTCTGTAGCTCACTACTTTTTTCTGGGAGTATAGTGTAACCAACTGAGCAACGAGAAGAAGCCAGGGATAAGAATGGATTTAAGACAAAAGCTCAGTATTTTATGTTTCTGAGACATAAAAAGAATCCCATTCTGGGATTCAAAACCTTCTTTCCTTCGTTAGGAAAAATCCAAGCCAGCCTCAGACTGAGTAAGGATGACTAGATGCCAAGGAGTCTGGTCTTCATGAGCCAAAGAGTACAAAACCTGATGACCAAATGACAGGGGACCAAGGATGACAAGCTGCCAGCACATAAGGTGCACAAGGGCTGCTACAAGGAATCTGACCATCTTTGTAAAGTGGCAGCTGGACATTGCTAAGATGACATAAAGGAAGGAAGACCTGGAGTTGGACTAAAAGCAAACCAAAGATGTAGGGGAGATGCCGGCAGTGTCATTATCATGATCATGAGACGAGGGAGTGAAATCTGGCATTTCAAAAGGACTTTTCAAGTTCTCAGACAAGATAACTTAATGTTCCTTTGCCAAATTACCTGCCCACCAATGAGTGGCATAATCACTTCATCCCCATGGACAAACATACTCTTTTCTATTGACAGATCTAGCTGCAAGAAGGGCTAGTCAATGAACCATGGAATCACAGACCACCAGCTACATGTACTGATCGCTGCCCTCATCACAGGGTCAAGCAAGGCAGGAGCAGGGGTCGCACAGGCTGTGGGGATGACAGAAATGCAGGGTTCAGCAGCAGTAAGCATGGCTCAGCACTGATGGCCATGCCCAATGGGGCCAAAGGGCCCAGCTTCTGGTGCCCTCTAGTACCCAGTAGGCTGCATAGAGAGGCTCCACAGGCCAAATCTGGCTTGTGGGCTGTATATTAGACATACCTGCTGTATAGCTTCATTCACAACTTTTCTCTGCTCATGTTCATTAAAACTTTAAAGAAATCACTAGTGCATGTGTAGCATTGCACAGTACTAGATGTAATTAGAATTATTCATTTATATGCAATAGACTTTATCCTAGCAACAGCAAAGGATAGTGTAATCTCTTTTTCGTTCAAGTGCTTGGAGATTGTGATTTTGGAGCAGCAGAATGAGTTCTTTTTTCACTATCACTGTGACATTCCAGATGGCCAGAATGTGCAAAATAATGACAAACGCAGTGTCCTAATAGGCACAGATTTGTTATGAAGTATTTGAAGACTTCTATAACATTTTAGAAACCAATACGTGAAACATATCCCAAGCCTGTTTAGGATTATTTGATGCCAATGAAATAAGTTAATTTATTAACAATAATCACTTTACCCCCTTGACTGTATTTGTAAGGTGACCTGTGAAAGAAACAAACATACAAGGAAACATTCTTCATTATACTTATTAAACACAAAGCTGGATTTTAAGACCAGCAATAACAGCAGATAGATGAGATGGTAGGTGGAACCATGACATCAAAGGGCCAATAAGATAGTATGAATATATTATATTTGCATAGTATTATTCTTGTGTTTAAAAAATTTACTGAAGGGTGACCAAATCATTTTTCCCTTTAAAGCGTATACTTCATGACCAAATATAAATGCCATGAAAAATTAACAACTGATAATTTTTTACTAGATATCCCGTTTATTTCTTTTATCTACCAGCATATACAAACACTACATATTATGGAGCCCAATTTGCCTAGTAATAAAAGCAGAACAGTGAAAATCAGAAGCACTGGGTTTGTATAGGCTATCTTGGGTAAGTCACTTGGCCTTCCTATACCACAGTTTCCAAGATGCACAATTTATGCTAAGAATGCCTACCTTGGCATGTATGAGATCTTCCAGGACATTATAATGTATGACTTTATATTTTGTTGGAGTGTCTGTGGTAAACCTAGTATTTCTCATTTTCCACTACGTGGTTTGCTTTGTAGGCTGAAACTAGATATCTGCTTCCATATTAATATCATCACATTATCTGAATACATTTTAAAAGATTATGACACTTGGCAATGAATGGATTTGATTTGTTATTTTTGGGTCAAAATCTAGCATACTTAAGTTAAAAGTTAGCACAAGATGGCCTTTATCTGATTTAAAAAATCCATGAAATAGAAGGAATGGGGGAATTTCCTTTAAAAAACAGATACCCCTGGATATATTTTCAATGCTAGAGATTTTCATCTATTTGAATGACGGCCACATTCTCCCTTGGCACTAACTGGATATCAATAATGAGACAGGGAAAGCTGGGACAACAAGGTACAATCAGAAGAGCTGACAGCTCTATATAAAGTAATCAATCATGTTTAATACATTAAATAACACAATACAAGTTTCATACATACACTTAGCCTTATCCTAAAGTCTTTGATCAAACAAAAAGTCGTGCTCAGGCAATAGAAGTGCATAATCAGACCCACAGCAGACACAGAAGGGATCAAAATATCTATGGCAGGTTTCCATGACAAAGAGCATCATTATACTTTCAGTGGAGGCACACAAACCAAGATCTAAATTCTTCTAAGTCTGTGATATATGTTAATAGCCCTATGCTGTTAGAAATTTAATTTATAGTGCTCAGTTAACTTAAGAGTTTTCTACCTCAGTTCAGGAGAGCCTAAACCATGACTTCTGTGGTACCTAAGCACATGCTTATGTGTTTTTTTGGAATTGAGGCACAAGCCCTTGTACTCACAATATGATTACATTTGACATTTCTTCTCAATAAATGAAAGAACACACACAGTAATTTCCCCAAAAGTTTGGATCTAATGAGAAACTTATTAGAAGTGACAACTGCATTTGAGGCTTTGACAATATGCATCCCAACATATTCACTTTCTTCCTTGAGAGAGACATCCTTTCGGCATTAAGGATATTAAATTTAATGCTAACTTCCACAACCATACCAGACTTCGCAAGGTACTTGGGCATAGTTTATTTGAAATTATATATAAATATGCAGCATTTTTTTCCTTTGGGCAGTGGTATGTGTTGACTCTTCTCGGCTTTAACAGCAATGTTATATATACTAAGATTCTATCTGGACTGCAAATGAACAGAAATATTATACACAGCTAAATAAGAAAACACAGATTATTGCAGGAGCCCCCCTAAGGCCTACTTTGTCTGTGAAACAGTTTGTTTTACTTTTCACAGAATTTATTTTGGCTGTAACCAGATTGATGGTGATTATATTTGAAATCCCTCCCACATATCTATCACATAAACACTTCATTAATTTAGGGTTTGAAAATATATTTGGATAATGAATGTGCTTTTTTTTATAAATTAGCTGATATTAGAGCTAAGCATCGCTATAATACCAGCAAACAATCAAATGTGCCCCATGTTGCCAACTTTTACATGTCCAAATTTACTGCTTTTCTAAACACATTTACCAGTAGTTAGAAACTTACACAGTTATGGGGAAAAAAAGAAAAAGAAACCTTCAAGTAATATCAGATGTCTTATTAGCCCAGAAAGATCAATCTATGCGACCTGAGAGATGGCAAAAGTTCCAGATTCTCCTTTTGCCAAAAGAGGGATTAACATGATTTTTTGAAGTCTGATACAAAATAAATCCTGAGCCTCATCAGCATTTCACCATTCAGCAGATAATATCATTTGATTTGACATCAACAAAAAGAAAAAAAATGAAAGAAAAGAAAGAAAGAAATCCTGAGCTGCTGCAGAAAGTGGAGCAGGAAGTGCCCACTGCAGGGTCTGTGGTCCACACAGCTTTTATTTCACAGAGACACACAGACAGCCTATTCCCTGGTGACAAATCTCTGCACTTTCCAATCCTGCACAGGATTTCCTTCTGTCTGAAAGTGTAAGAATCGCTCCAGTAAACACTATGCATATGCCTTCCAGCTGTTGCACTCATTCTGCCACTAAAGACCAATGACAAGAAAAGCATTATTTCCTACTAAACCTTTTAATCACTAGAACCCACCATTTTCATCTGCATGTTTCAGGCATAAATGACTTATATCATTTCAGTGACATTTTTCTTCAAGGAATTGGACTTTGCTACGTCAGTATGTTAACCTTTATCTCTAGAGTCTAGGATAGGTATTTCTAGGCAGGCTGCAATATGCAGTAGCACTGAAGTATTACACTAACAATATATGTGCTCTCATTTTCTCTCTCTCTCTTTCTATATATCTATATCTATCCATAATTTAACGTTCTGACCATCTGTACCATTTGCTACAGAGCCTATTTATTTTGGCATGGTCTTGCCTTTACAGGAAGAATTTTTTTTTCTTATATTATTAAGCCTTCCACAGCTTACTATTCCATTCCAGAACAACTGCATGGAGCAGTATGGATAGAAACTTTCTCAACCTGCAGTAAAGAAAATAAGACTTTAGAACAAGTTTAAGGCATATCCCATTACTACCATAACAATGACTTTTTTCAAGACTGAACTATCCTGCCCCTTGGGAAACCTTAGTGGACTTTTTTTTCTTAACTCTTACTTCCCCATGGCTTGCTTTTCTGCATTGTATAAAATACAAAAGATCAAGTTTGTCAGATAATATTCAGAGAAAGACAGGTTCTTGATTTAGTAATGGGATTTTTTTTATTTGAAAGAAAACCAAAAGAAATACCACTGTTGTGTTGTTTTCCAGACATATACGCACACGTGTGTGTGTGTGTGTGT